GTTAAACAAGGTTTAATATACAAATGAAAATCAAGTTTGTAATAGTATGTGAAAATCACTACACTCAAAATCATATATACACACATAAAAAAGGATAAAAATCAAAGATATAAAGCACAGATAGGGGACCACTTAGAGTATGATAATAGTAAATATATGAGCAATATATATCAGTCTATAGTATATTAAAAAAAACAAGAGAACACATCATCATGAAATAAAAATAAATACGAAAACAAATCAAGGTTTAACTCGGACTTTTGATTGATCGGACTATAGTCAACATTAGCGAAGAAAAAAATATTGAAGATTTATTCATTCACAAAAAAAATCAGACGGTACGACGCCGTTTACCTTCGCTGGTTTTAGTATACTATCAACTGTATGTTTGCTTACATGCCTGATTTATTCAGGCGTGAATTTCTTATTTTTTTTCTCGTTTGAATGGTACAATTCGCTCGCAATTTTCATATTTTGTTTCATCGCCATGTGGTTTGTATATCTGTATCTATGATATTTTTTCTTCTTGTTGTGCTTCATTTTGTGTTATTGACAATGAGAAAAAGCGGTGCGTGCTCAGAGACACGATTTATCTAGATATTCATACTGTCTTTTCTTTTTCCAGTCGAATAACACAACGAATATGTAATGCTTATGTTTCATTTCATCGACATGTGATTTGTGTGCATTTGTTGTTATGGCGTTTTTCTTCTTTTTTTTTGTGTGCCTTTTTCTTTTATTAAGAATGAAGGTAATTCTCAATCGATCTCCTGCACTGAATCTAATAAATGGAGAAAATAGTCAGCGTTTAGTGCTCTATAAACCTTGAAAATTCATACAATGCAAGGATGATTATTGTGATCATAGGAAAAATCCCGCGAAATTACACCTTGATGCAAATAAAACAAAGCCTAGAAAAATTTTAAAAAAAGCACTGTTCATGACTGTTGTGAATTTGAAACATAGACGACTGATTTCAAAAACTGCCTTTTTTACTCTGAGAACACTATGTGCATGAGTTGTCTAATTCGAGTTCGACCATAAATGAATCTTCGGTTGCTGCATCTTATTTCAAAAATAAGTAATAAAGAATTCGAACGAGCACACTCTAAAAAGGGTTCATTCCGCCGTTACACTGGAAGATCCTTTTTGGTTTCGTAAAAGAGGTGGTTTTGTACCCAACCTTCTCTGAAAAATGGTAAAAAAGGCTTCGTAAGAAAGATTTTGTACAAAACCTTTTTTCTCAAACTGAACGAAAGGTTTCGCAATCAAGGTTCAGTATAGAACCATTTGAGTGGTTACTGAAAAAGATTCTGTATATTTGCCTTTCAGCTAAACCTTTACTAACGTCTGCCAATACGATAGGAAATGAGAAAAATAGCAGAAACACACTCGCCCACCGAGTCACTACGACTCACTTATGCTATTCAGGTATTAAATAATGTCATCTATACTCAAGAAAGCGAATTTTCCCGGCCATAAATAACATCATATAACATTCGAACGACAAGTAACTCGTAGTGATTTGGTGGGCGAGTGTGTCACTGGGGTGTGGATGTGGATATGAGTAAAAACACAAGTAAAACCCACATTCACACAGATACCCACATCTTCCACATCCACACTTGGAATGGATTTTTCAGACTGACCAAGTTTATATAAACATGATATTGTGGACGGTTCTATTGTAGATGAAAGCAAATCATAATTTGGTCCTAAGTTATTACATTCAAATGTTGAAGTCATTGTAGATATTAATTTTGTTTTTTTTTAATTATGCTGAATTTTATTCGTGACATCCGTACATGTTTTTCGTGATTTTTGTATAATTTTTTGCGGACGCTTACGAAAGATGGGAGTGAATAGAGAAGATTATGATAACAAACAGAGAAAGAATGACAAGGAAGCGAAAGAGAACAGAACGAAAATTGAAATCGAGATATTGATTACGAGGTTGCCGTCCATTGCTGTTCTTTCTTGGTTTATTCTTCCGATACCATATATCTTGACACTGAAGACACCGTACCGAGGGAAGGGATCAAACCTTCTAATGTCTGACTAACAATCAGATGCATAGAACCACTACATCACCCTCGACTATTGTAGATATCGATGATAATGATGTTCTTTGTTGTTCATACTTTCGTTCACCTTCACCTTCAACATGTTCCATGTTCATTTTTTTCCAATATCTTCCTGTTTGCGTTTGTGGATAACATGGAGGTAGTGTCCATATGAATCACTTGGACCTGCTCCATATTGTTTATAAACACCAGGTAGCATTGGTTCATTTGTATATTGATCTGATAGTGGTGGAAAATTATTCATATTAAATATTATTCCATTAGATCCTTGCATATATGAAGGTAACATATATTGTGATGGATATTGATGGCGTGAATTTATATTCTAAACAAAAAAAAGAAAAATTTTAGATTATTTTTGAAAAGACAAAAACATACGTATTGTTGTTTTGTACGGAAGGTTGATAAATTTGTAGACATTTTAATTTCTCTTCCCGATGAT